TTATTTGTTATGCTATAGATCAATTTAATTTCAAATACCATATTATCTTACTAATTTAACATTTTTCACCAAATTTTAATAAATTCAATTTGCAGTCCCCACCGGAGCTCCATTAAATCCACGTGTAAGTTCGATAACGCAAACACGCGGTGACTTTTTATGGAATGAACCGGATTGCGAACTTCGTAACGGTAAAATAACAGGTTATGAATGGCAATTAGAAAGTCCGGAACCATGGGGTGAAAGCAAAACAGGTCAAAGTACCACACAGCGAATATCCTTCGATGATTTGATACCATATACTCAGTATCGAGTGCGAGTTTCGGCGGAAAATTCAGGTGGACAAGGACCATGGTCAGAATGGATCTCATTTCGAACGCAACCTGGCGGTAGGTTGGTACTTCATTTAGGATAGGTTCTTTTCAAAAGGATAACATTTAAGTTGTATTTCTGTTTAAATAAGCTGAAATTGAAAAAGCGAACGAGATTAAAAGAATCAAAATTTGATATTGAAATTGTATTGAGAAATGAAGCATGAATAGGAGGTAAATTATAAGGAAATTATATGAGAATTGTTTATTTTAGCACCACCCGCACCAACTGATCTAACCGAGGAACAATCATTCCCTCATGCTATCGAAATTTCATTCCTTCCACCATTACCACCTCACGGTATTATCAACGAATATCGTATAAGACAAACACCATCTGATCAAGTGAGTGATTTTATTATTTCACTGTTAGTTATTCTTATCATTAAATACTTTTTCAGTCTTGTTTAATTTTAAATTTCTATTGTCATTATAAAACCTTTTACAGTTACTATTTGTCATTTTATTTTGATATATTCGAATTCTAATTTGATTTAGATTCAACTAATAATAATCATAATGCATATTGTATGCAAAAATTTCCTGAAGAAAGAATTTAATATCCTATCATTCTCATTAAGAAGAAAATAGTTATTACTGAAAAATAAGACAAGAAATGAAATATAATATAAAATTGAAATCGTTTGAAATCTAAAGATATATCCTTCATACAGATGAATTATAAAGAAGTTCGTGTACTTGGAAGTCGATTGCAATGCTCAGATGCATCGAAACGTGATCGGTTATGTTATCGAGTTGTGGATTTGGAACCGGAACAGGAATACGAAATTCAGGCATCAGCTCATACTGAAGGTGGTGCTTGGAGTGATTGGAGTGAATCGATGAGTGCTCGAACATACGAACAAAGTAAGTTAAGAGTACAAACGTGAATAGTAAATTTTTAATAAATAAAATGATTGTAAAAGTGAAAATAAAAATGAAATGAGAAAATAATAATAATAAGGAAAAAAAATAAAGTATATTGTTTAGATATACCGGTATTAGAACGTGAACTAGAAATGGTAGATAGCAAACCGAACAGTATAACATTACGATGGCAAGGTTTAGATGCTGATCAAGTAAGCTTTATTTCTTATTCATTTAAATTAGTCAATTATGCATATATATATATATATCGAATGAATGCTTTATAGGCCTGAAATTTTGAACTATTGATGTTGAAAATTGACTGCCATTAAAATACATAAAATCATTTTTTTATTTGATTTTTTCTCTTCAAATGAATTCAAATATATTTTAGTCAAAGCATGTTGTCGGCTACATTTTGGAGTATAAGTCGGAAGATGATGATTGGAAAGAATATGATGGTATTACAAAACATCGCAGTCGTCAGAATGATTACCGTATTCAAGTTAAAGATTTGCAACCTTCGACGGAGTATTTCTTCCGATTGAAAGTTGTTGGTAAAAATGACAAGCGTGGTTCATCAGGACCCGAATTGAAAGCAATGACAAAATGTGGACGTTAGTACTGGTTTTTTTAGCTTATTTATCATTTTTTTTATTTTTTAATTTGAAATGATTTTCATTCCATAGGGATTTCTACATTTTACATTTCAGGACCAGAAGAGCCACCAAGCGATCTACAACTGACATCTGATTTCGAGAATGTCAAACTTACTTGGAGCAATCCGGATAAAGAATCTTGGGCATGTGACAATGTTGAATATGTGATTGATTTCGTGAACACAACTTCACGCGGTATAATGACGATACCAACGGACGCACCGACTAAACTCCTGCTACCATCACTTCCGGGTACCAAATGGGAAATTCGTATGCGCACACAGACGATTGAGGAAGGCGAGAAACCATCTTACAGTCCATGGAGTGATCGCGTAACTTTAGTAACTCAAGCTCTTCCCGGAGAACTATTTCTGACAGTTGAACCAAAGACACCTACTTCGGCAATGGTTATTTGGGATCTGGCTGATCAGGATCGAAAATGGAATTATGGTGTCGATATTACTTACCGATTGAAGCAATTGGGTGGTTGTGCAGAATCACGAAGCGGTAGTCAAGAACCAGTGACAAACTATAATGTACAAGATAAACAGATTTTACTTAGTGATCTAATACCCGGTTCCGAATATGAAGTAGTCGTTACTCCGCGACGTCCACCAACTCTACGATCTTCAGTCGCAACGCCAAAAACAATACGCCGCTTCAGGACAAAAGCTACCTTTCCATCTGGTCCACCACGTAATCTGCGTGGTGAAGGACGTCGTGATACTGAAATTTTCTTCAAATGGGAACCACCGGAATGCGAAGAACAAAATGGTAAAATAACACAGTATGAATATGAGGTGACAGGTGCCGAAGAATGGAATGATGTAAAACGTGAAGGTGTAACACCACGCACCAATGCTGCAGTAGATCAAATGAATCCTGGCTCCACGTATAATGTACGCGTACGCGCATATACTAGTGAAGGACCAGGACCATGGTCAGAACCAATTCAGATTACCACAACCGGTACTGAGCTAGGGCCACCTCGAGAGCTTACTGCAGTACATACAAAGCCTAAGCTAATTCAATTGACTTGGCTTCCACCGTATCCAGAACGAGCTCCAGTGCTCATCTATAAAATCCGGTACAGCCCACGTGCCGATGATTCTAATCCAGTAGAGATGGAGCTATCCGGTGACCAAATGAGCTGTTCCGGACACAAGAGCCCACTGATTACCAGTGATAGCGTATGTGCAACAGTACGATCATTGCAACCGGATACGACTTACCGATTCACTGTTCAGGTTTGCAAAGCGTTTAATTTTCTTATAAAACTCGAATTCTTTTAAGAATAAATTGCATATTTGAATTCGTTTCTGGGAAAATTCTTTTACTGAAATATTTAATTTCGCAACAGAATTTTGTAAAATTTTAAAAATTCGGTTGTTTTGATAAGATCCAAAATGAATTCAAATATAGTGTTAAAATTCTAAATTTAAAAGTTTGCCATTTACAACACTTCACATCATATTTCACTCTCAGGCTTCATATATCTTTTTATATTTTCTACCCTCTCAGAATGAATGGGAATTAACAACATTCTATGAATTTTTAGGCCCAGTCTCCCACTGGTAGTTGGGGTGAATGGTCACCAGCCTATTTTGCAACTACACGTTCTACTGAAGATGGACCAATACCTGGAAAATTACGATTGGTGTCTGCAGGACATGATAATCTTCGTGTGAACTGGACAGCACCACCGGCTGTCAAAAGTGTTGTTGATCAATATTTGGTAAGTTTTGCTTTATTAAAATTCTGAGAATCTTGTTTGAAATCCTTAGTAAATATTCAAATACTTTTAAAGTTTGGTTCCTGATTTTTGAATGCTAAATATGAGTTAATTTTCAGGTCAATATGTCGTTAGCTAGCTCTCTCGATAAGCATCCAAAGCAATTTACTGTACGTGGCGAACAAGTTGATTATCATTTTCGTGGATTGGAACCAGCAACACATTATAATATTACGGTTCAGGGCTTATCAGAAGGCAAACGAATGTGGTTCATAACAGAAGTTTTTTCAACCACCGATTATGGTACTTAAATACTAATAACTGATTTTACAGTATATTCAATTTTGCTCCGTGAACTTAGTATGCTCTGAGTATTGATTTTGAATTTGTTGCAAAAAAATTAAAGCTTACAGACTTTGGCCAATTTTGATACCATAAATCTTAGTTTTATTTATTTTTAGGAAGTGGTTTGCTTTCTTGGTTACCACCGCCGACAGATTTGAAATTGCTAGAAAAATCAGATCGATCTATGCATGTAGCATGGAGCCCACCAGAAATTTTTGATCCAACCTATAAAGATTTGATTACTCACTATCTGGTAGATTGTTGAATTTAAATTTAACTTTAAATCTGTTCATTTCGTACGACTTCCTGATCGATCAAATGATCACATGAATTGTTTCATTTGTCCAATTTAACAATGTATTCCTTTACGTTTCACAACAATTTAGCTAAATTCAATTGAAATTTCAGGTAACAATAGCACCATTTGACCCATATACCGGTAAAACTGGTCGACCACGTAACTACTCAGTACCGTATCCGGGAACATCGATCAAATTTGATAATTTGACACCGAAAACAATTTACAATATTACAGTACAAGCGGGTACTAGTAGTGGTTACGGTGAAATGTTATGGGGTGCCTATAGTACACTTGCACCAGGACAGAATCACGTATTACGATTACTGGATCGTACGCCGACATCATTGACTGTTGAATGGGAGCCAGCATTTCTCGGTGACCGAGGATATACTGTATGTTTCTAAAACTTTTACTTTTATTTATCGTTATAAATTTGTAAATTTATGAATCTTCAAATCTTGTAATTTTGACTTATTTTAATTGATAAAATGTATTATGAATTTTCTAGCTTTCATGGGAAAGTTTACATTCTGTTTTCAAACATGTTCGCATCAATGCAATCCGTTCTGCTGAAATTCCTGCTGGTACCACTCAATACACTATTGAAGATTTAGAACCTTCAACGATTTATAATGTCACCTTACAAACACGACCAGGTGATAAGATAGCCTGGGGTGCATATGCTACTTTACCACCAGGATGGTTTATGGTACGTAATCTGGTATGGTGTGATCGAACCAACTATGCTATATCATTAACCTGGGAACCAGTGAACTTAAACAAAGCAACACATTATCAAGTACGATACCTGAGGCTTAAAGAACATGACGTTATTTGGACAAAAGAAAATGAAGCTCGTGCTATTGATTTACTCTGTCCTAAAGATGGTTGTAATCGACACTGCTATCTTGTTTTTAATCTTCTTCACAATCCAAATGAATATGTCTTTCAAGTACGAGCTAAGGTAAGTCAATCTTGCCATATATTTTACCTTGAGAGAATTGATCTCATCACGACATGCTACATATAGAGTAATCAACATCAAAAAAAAAAACCTTTGTACATAATTTTTCAAAATGTCTAGTAAATTCTCAATACAATGTGATGTTATATCAGTGATTAACTCTTTCTTGATAATTATTACAACTATTGGTATCTTCATAATTATTAATAATCCCGTAACAGACAATAATTGACAGATAAAGTTGATCAAATTAACATAGAATTTAAAAGTTGAACATTTAAAGGTGAGCAATCAATGGAACCGATGGAGAACAGCTGGAAAACCAAGCGTTATCGAGAAATCAGAACGAAAAAAAGCATGTTGCATTGTACCACCACCATATATGGTTGAAAATATTGGTGTAGCTGGAACCTTCTGGGAAGTTGACATTTCACCGGTTCAATCACAACCACAAAATATTTCGTCAGTTTTACATCAATTCTTTTGAATATATATTACTACCAGCGTTCATAATTATACTTTCTTATCTTGGCCATTATTATAATTTCAACTCTAAGATTTTTTATTTTTATTTATCAAAAATTTTTATTTTTCAAAAATATCAAAAATATATTTTTATATTTTTATTTGTCGAAAATTTTTGTCAAAAAAACATTATTTTTGTCAAAAAGTATCTTTGAGAAGATATATATGATGAAATGTTGCAAAATTTCTGCTCTTTTACTAGTTATATTCACAGTAAATAAGCCTAGCGATAATTTTTTTTTTTTGCTTTCAGGCGTTACTATGTTGTTGTTGATGAACGTGAACCAGCCGGTAGTACTAATTGGACCGAATTAACGGATAAGGTTACGGCAAATAAAATGAAAATTCCTTACTATGTAGCAGCATCATTCAATGCTGATACATTACCTGGACCACGAAAAGTTCGTATTGGTGATGGAACAGTAATCGGTGGCTATCTGAATTACCCATTAGTAAAGGGTAAAAAGTATAACTATGAAATTTACTCAGTATGGGAGCTAAATGGTAAACAAGCTGCTGTAGCACGTCAGCGAGGTTAGCTAATTTATATTAAGCATTTTGTCATTATTTCATTTATTTAGCTATTTAATTACCTGATTAAGATTTGATCGCTTGAAGTATATGATTTTTTTTATGTCTATGAAATGATTACAAGTAAGTTTGTTTCTGAATCAACGATAGATGATGAATTATAAGTCATCAATTATCATTTTATTATCAATCTGTAAGTTTGCAAATTTCAAATTTTCAGTTCTATTAGTTGCTTTTCGGGATATTTAAAATTGTTCCGATTTTTTAATATTATAAAAAAAAAGTATTACAATGCGCTGTTCTATATTTTCTACTAACCAGTTGTAATGCATTCTGCGCATTTTGAGAATTTTTTGCAACCGTTGAATGAATGAGTCGATGAAGTGTGCGATATGTATGATAGAATACAGAATATATTACCATCCATTTCCTATTTCAATTTCCATTCCATATTCATGTCAAGTCAAAGAAAATAAAAGTTTATTCAAAAAAAAAACAACATTAAAGCATTGAAATAATCAAAATAATTATTTTCGACGAAATATTCAAAAGGTGCCTTATTTTGAAAAAATTAAAGTTTTGCTGATTGAAATTTATGATAGAAACATTTGATAAAAAGAGATGATAGGAGAGAGAAAGAGAGAGAGGTCAAGAGCAAGAGAAAGGAGGAAAGAGCAAATGGAGATGGAATAAGGTATTTGAAGCTTCTTATTTTTAAAATGTATTTCAAAAATGTTGATTGATAGAAGCTAAAAGCTTTCAAGAGTTCGATTAGCTCCTTTTAAGTTAGTGTATTATTTTGAACATTCTTTTTTGATTTTTTTTTTTGGTTTTTTCTTAAAATTCTTAAAATATTCCATTTTGTGAAAAAAAAACTATAATTCTAAAATAGAAATTTTTGAAAATGAAAAATTACAATTAGTTTTATAAATGATATACAATATGAGTAACCTAGGTATATCGATGTATGCTAAACTATCCAAATATGTTATTTGAATCCTTGAGAGACTTAGCGACTAATAGTTGCTGAGTCATTTCGTCTTACTTATTCATCTTTTTCAATCTCTTTCCTAGTTCAAGCTTTTCCATTACAGCCTATCAATAATTTTGATTTATGTAAAACGTCCAACTACTTGGATAATATAATTATCCGTTCCGGAGATGAGATTTCATCTAATGTAATAAATATGGATAATAGAAATCGAAATGTGCAATAAATCAGGAAATTTTTATTGAAAAAAATTTTGATCATAGGAGATGAAAAATTTTTCTTTGTTATAAATGCCGTAGCAATTTTATGATTAATAATGTTACCGTCAAAAGAATTGTGAAGGAAAAAAAAAAGATTCAAATTGAAGGCTGTCAATTTCTGAATAACAATAATTGTGGGAGTTTGATATATTTAGTTCACGTTTATAAATAACTCAAAAATAAAATATTTTTATTTAGAAATTTCAAAAAGACTAGCACAACCTGGCACTCTTTCATTCATTTGTTCCATAATCTGACGGAATGAAAATTGATAAAAAGAGCTTATAATTCAGCAATTCAGTAATTAAATTAATTCATCCATCATACTTTCACGAATAAAAATAAATTTGATGGTCTAGTTTTTTTTTTTATTTAGAATTAACGATAGATAGTGGAGTTATATCTTCTTTTTTTTTAGATTAGGTTCTTATCAATAGGCAAATAGCTGTAAAATAATGAGATAAGATTGATGAGAGTATGATGAAGTTAGACAGTGAAGTTATTATTTGAATTGGCTCATTTATACAGATGTTACAAATGTCCGAAGTATGGATTATTATTGATTTCAATCAGAAAAATAATTTATTTTAAAGCTATAAATCATTCATGGGAAAAAAAAGAATCAATCGATCAATCGCTTTTTTAAATGATGAATAGAAATGAAGTAGAATTTAGGGCAAGAAGAAATTTGTCAAAAAAAATCTCGTTAAACTGCAAAATATCTCAAAAGAAAAAATATTTTTGATATTTAATTTTATTAAAGATAAATTTCTTTGTTCTATTAGAATGATTTTTTACAATGACTAAAACTAAGCTAAAACTAATTACGTTCCTTTAGAGAGCATTGAAAGCGGCTATTAATTCGAAATGTTAGCATCAGATATTTCTTGGCATGAATCCATAACTTTTAACTTGGCACCAGTTTGAAAGCAGTGCAGAATGTCCTAGGAAATTAATTTCTGGAAATGTAAATTTCCATCATATTTTGATGCTAAATAATCGTTTCTTTCATATATTCGCTGATCTTTTTTAACATTTTATCAATATTTCCCGCATTCCATTGGATAACTTGTTATCTGCGGATACTATTGTAATGACATCAAACTATGTATATAATATATGGTTTTAATTATATAATTCACGTAAAATTTCAACAGTTATGTGAAAATTTACACTAACTTAGCATTATTATAAATGTGTTTAATATTTTTTTAACATTTAATGTAGTTTAATATATTAGACTTGACATATAGATATGCTATATCTGTATATCATATTTATAAACTATATAT